CATTTACATTTAAATAACTTATGTATAAATATTTATATGTATATATATATTTTTTTTTTAGATTTGGCGATAAGTCAAATTTTTGTCAAGAATATAAAGATATATATATAGGCATGTACGTGTGCGTATATATTCATATGTACATAGTATTCTTTTGTCTGGCTTAGTCAAAGAAATTTGGCCATAAAGCGAGGCGAATGGCGATTTTTATGGCTATGACTTGGGCAGCGGCTTTCAATGATTAGTGCGTATGCTAATTTTGTTAGCGACGACTTCAGTTTTTCTCACTTTATTAATGGCCGATGCCGATTATTATTATATAATACCGCTGTCTCTGCTGGTTCTAAAACTAGTCAGGCATAATTTTATTTTGTTTTTTCTTATGTTCGCAGCCGGTTTGTTGCATAATTGGCTATTTTTATAGATAGAGCCCAGCACGGACATAGCTTATCCAAAAATTCTAAGTGATTTTAATATGTCCGCAAATTAATTGCAGCTAGCCATTTACCACTTTCGTTGATGTTGACAGCTTCAAGCTGACCTTGTCGAAATTTAAACGGCAATCGCATAAAATGCTAATTATTAGACATTAGATCCGTTGACAGCCACGGAAGACGATACATAGCTTAATCTGTGCATTTTTTGACCAGAGATCTTGTCGCCAAACAAATTAATTATTTCACCTGCATTTTGTGTCTTTTTATAGTTGGCTTGTGAATCAGAAATTTGAGCATAATCGAGTTAGCCATCGCTTTGTGTGACTTTGTTGTGGTTAGCTACCGTGACCTAGAGATGATGTCAAAGTTGAATGTCTTCGACTTTACACATTAACATTTTAATGTAATTGCCAGCTATTTGCTATTGTTGTTGTTGTAGCCGATTTGAATACTATATTCAAATGGCTGACATCGTCTGAACTTTAACGAACGACTTGAGCATTGTCTATAGTTAAACAATGTTGCCTTGCATTTAGGCCTAGAGTATTAAAACAATTCGATAAGGTAATTAGAACTAAACTCATTGCGATGCCTAGGGTCACAGCTTGTGGAATACCAAACAACTTGAAGTTTTTTTTAGTCTGTTCTTTAACCATATTAACACGATCACTTTCTGTTTCCGTTCCTCCACAGAGAAGTGCACTTTTTGTCTTGGCGCTTTGCGTTGTGGCAGTAGCCACCGCAACAGCTGACACCCATGAGGTAAGCATCTAATGGCAATTTAGATCATGGAGCTGATCTTTAACTGACAGTATGACTTGTTTCAGCGTAAGGTTCGTGCGGCTGATGGATACTTCTATCCTACTCCCGCGGTGCCGTTTGAGTTGCCCAAGCGCACTACATTACCACCGCCCACCAGGCCTCCAACAAGTGTCCCTGTGACTTATTTGCCCCCCACAAATAAGCCACAGCCACCTGTGACTACCACTACTCGTAGGCCACCACCTCCGACTACCAAGGCTCCCGTTCGCACAACGCCAGCTCCAACCTACTTGCCTCCTACCAACAAGCCACTGCCTCCTGTGACAACGCGCAAGCCAACACCACCACCGACAAGGTATACTCCACCACCAACCCAGCGCACGGTGGCAACTACCAGGGCTACCATTCGTACGACGCCAGCTCCAACCTACTTGCCTCCTACCAACAAGCCACTGCCTCCAGTGACTACCCGCAAGCCAACGCCAGCTCCAACTTACTTGCCTCCTACCAACAAGCCACTGCCTCCAGTGACTACCCGCAAGCCAACGCCACCACCGACTAGGTATACTCCACCACCAACCCAGCGCACGGTGGCAACTACCAGGGCTACCATTCGTACGACGCCAGCTCCAACCTACTTGCCTCCTACCAACAAGCCACTGCCTCCAGTTACTACCCGCAAGCCAACGCCAGCTCCAACCTACTTGCCTCCTACCAACAAGCCACTGCCTCCAGTGACTACTCGCAAGCCAACGCCACCACCGACTAGGTATACTCCACCAACGACTCAGCGCACGGTGCCGACAACCAGGGCTACCGTTCGTACTACTCCAGCGCCAACCTACTTGCCACCAACCAACAAGCCACTGCCCCCAGTGACCACCACTCGCAAGCCAGCACCACCAACGACAAGGGCTACCATTCGCACAACTCGTGCAACTATTCGCCCATCAAGCACACCTGCACCAACGTATCTGCCTCCTACAAATAAGCCACAGCCACCTGTCACCCGTAAACCTACCCCACCGCCGACTAGGGCTACCCCACCACCAACTCGGGCTACTCGTCCACCAACCCCACCACCAACGTACTTGCCGCCTGTGACCACGACCCGCAGGCCACCACCCCCTCCGACTACCAGAGCTCCCGTCCGTACGACTCCCGCTCCCACATACCTGCCACCCACAAACAAGCCACAACCACCTGTGTACACAACGACTCGTAGACCACCACCACCACCAACTACTCGTAAGCCAACCCCACCACCCACTCGGGCTACTCGTCCACCAACTCCACCACCAACGTACTTGCCCCCAGTGACCACGACCCGTAGGCCACCACCCCCACCAACCACTAGGGCTACCGTTCGTACGACTCGCGCGACCGTCCGCCCAACAAGTACGCCAGCACCTACTTACTTGCCTCCCACAAACAAGCCACAGCCTCCTGTTACGACTAGAGCTACTACCCGACCACCGACTCGCGCTACTCCACCCCCAACTCGGTACACCCCACCCCAAACTCGGGCAACACCACCACCAACGCGGGCTACCCAACCACCAACTCGGGCTACCCCACCACCAACTTACTTGCCTCCAGTGACCACGCCCCGTAGGCCACCACCGCCACCAACTACTAGAGCTACCGTCCGTACGACTCGCGCGACCGTCCGCCCAACAAGTACGCCAGCACCTACTTACTTGCCTCCCACAAACAAGCCACAGCCTCCTGTTACGACTAGAGCTACTACCCGACCACCGACTCGCGCTACTCCACCCCCAACTCGGTACACCCCACCCCCAACTCGGGCTACCCCACCACCAACTCGGGCTACTCGTCCACCAACCCCACCACCAACGTACTTGCCTCCTGTGACCACGACCCGCAGGCCACCACCTCCTCCGACTACCAGGGCTCCAGTCCGTACGACTCCCGCTCCCACATACCTGCCACCCACAAACAAGCCACAACCACCTGTGTACACAACGACTCGTAGACCACCACCACCACCCACTTACACTACCGCACGCCCAACTTACCGCACAACTCCAGCTCCAACCTACTTGCCACCAACCAACAAGCCACTGCCCCCAGCGACCACTACTCGCAAAATTCCTCCACCACCACCACCAACCACGCGTAGGCCAACACCACCACCAACCAGAGCCACACCCCCACCAACCTACCTGCCTCCCGTGACCACTCAGAAGATAACCACTCAACGTACGGTGCCGACGACCCGTAGAACCACTCCGTACGTCCCACCTCCGACAAGGGCTAGCGTGCCACCAGCGACGACCAAACATCAGGGCTACCAATATCCCAGGCCCAACATACCCTTTGACTTCTAAGCACCCGTTCAACTAGCTCAGTTATAGCCGTCGATGAATTCAACGACGGTCAACGGCAGGATGGGTGACATTTCATTTCATTTTAATTGAAATAACAATGTCTTATGAGAGGGGATGCAATAACTGATGCTCTATATATCTAGCAATGCAATGCCAACCATATATTTCTAGGGCTAGATACATCTAGTCAATACAGTCGAAAAGATTTTTACAGCGTTTCATGAGGGTGCTCGAACTTGCGAATTACCACTGAAGCGTCGGCAAGAATGAAACTTGTTTGTTTTTATGAATTAATGAATCGCATACTCATACGATTAGGGATCACTGTATCTATGTATCTAATTGTTTGTAAACCCCTTAATACTATATCTTGCTATGTTTTATGTTTTTCCCAATCAAAATGCGTGTTTGCCTCCTCAGCACTTTGTGTCTCAAGACTATTTAGCTCTATATTGAAATCAAATGAAATACAAACAAATATCTTTTATGAACATTTCTAAAGGCCCGAACAATAAATTAAGTTTATCAAATGTGGTTTCAATGCATTTTTAATTCGACAACGGGAAATGTTTGCAGCGGTTGCTATTATTGTTATTATATTCATTTTTTTTTTTTGCCACAACAAGACGCAACTCGCGTGAGGTTGGATCTGTAAAAGAGCGGGTCGTACGGCTTTTGTGTAAGGTTTGTATAGCAAATAATAATCGAGAAACAATTTAAGTGCGGTATTATCATTATGAATTCCATCTAATAATGGGGAATGACACATAATACATTGTTTATTGGTTAAAACTCTTTTATCAAGGAGTCTTTTTACTATAAACATTTTATTGTAAAGCAGTTAAATTATGCATTATTTTGGCAAAAGGTTCCAGTAATATCCCATTTTGAGGTACGTATTATGTGCGGATATTCTACAAAAAAGTAAATAGAAGGTCGCTGGTTCAAATCCCTAAAACGCCTGCCTGTTGTGGTGTCAAATGATGCCTATCGAACTGCAAAAAATCCGATTAATCACATTATTAAACATAACTTTTTATCTAATTTATGAGAGCTTTAGGCACTTCGGCTAGCGAGCTGCACTTAAATTGTTTCTCGTTTTAATTCTTTATCGCGTGTATTGGCGTGTGTGCGATCTTGAGTTGTTCATGGTCGCTGCCTTTAAAATATCTCATTTTCTTTTCCACACAAACACATCGGCAACACGAAATCATTTAGCCAATTAATTTATTTGTCTATTTTCGTTCGTATATGTTAAACTTTCTAATTAGGCGCAGTCGTACGCTGCGTTGTTGCAAGTGGTTGCAAGTTTTTTAGGGCTGCTTGGCCAAAACTGCGGGCAGTCGTCTTTGCGATTCGCGATGAGGAAGTCGCGTCAGTTGCGCCAAGAGATACCGATACCAACAGCTACGATACGAGGCTCAGCTCAGCTAAATTTACACAGTGAAAAATGTTTATAAAGCCAGAAGCGCAGCTAGAGCCCAAGTCAAACCATATAGAGCTGCTGGGTCCAGATCCTGCCAGGTGCAGAGGCATACAAAAGGCAAAACGAAGCCGCTGGCAGCGGATTATGGGCCTGCTTTATGTGTACACAATTGTGAGCCCCCAGTGATAATAGCGAGAGAAAGAGAGAGAAATGTTAAGTGCTTGCAGCAAAACCAAATAAAACTTTCAATTTTACAGATGTCTCTTATGGTAGTCAAGGTCGCATCAACAGCAGCCTTATATCAACAGCAGCAGCAGCAGCAGCAGCCGCAGCAGTTACTTAACCACATTGAGCCAACGGAGGCGGAGACAACGCCCAGCACGGAAAGTGACAACCACGGCGACAGCCCGGCTCAGACAGCGGAACGCCTAAACATTGAGAAGATGCGTGCCAAGTTACAGCAATTTCAGCACGAGCAGCAGCAACAATATCGTCTGCAGCAACAACAAATGCACATGCATCTGCAGCAGATGCATCAGCAGCAGATGCAGTTGCATGCCAACGATGTGGACGCGGGTGCCGTGAGTGAAGCGGAGACTGGCGCGGCTGGCGAAACTGCCTACTTATTGGAGCGTGCCGACGACGTTGCGCCCATTTACGGAACATGGCGCACGAAAGCGAGACGACCCCAGCCGCCAGGCAACATGCTGCAGCACGCAACAACTATGCAGCTAAACGCGCCCGGCGATGGCGACGCCAATGCCAACGCCGTCGACGATAATCATCTGTATGAGCGCCTGCCCAAGCGATCCGTCACAATGACGCCGCTGCGTGATGTGCTGCGCGATCAGCTGCCCCGGCCGCCGCGCCTGTCCACACAGCGGCCACCCTCGTCGGGACTGCTGCGGCGCCAGTACTCGGAGACGCCGGGCACATTGGCGATGCGCGATGAATTCAAGCCGAAACCGTTTCACTTTCCCTTCGACGGGCCATTGCCGGAGCAATTCAAGAAGGGCGAGGCGGAGCGACAGCATGGCACACTGAACAACATTCAGGACATCTTGCACAATCTGCACATCAATAGTATGCTGCCCAGCAAGATGCCGCAAATGATGACGGCGCCTTCGCTGGTGATGATGCCCACGGGTCTGCACATTGCCGGCAGCTATAAGAATCTCAAGTCCAGCGGCATTGCCAATTTCTTTCGGGGCAAGCGTAACAAGAAACAGATGCAGTTCAGCATACCGATGCCCATGTTTCCCATGGGCATGCCCATGTCGTTGTACGGTGGTGCGCCGCATCAGCGCGTAGCCATCGAGCAGCTGTATCCCTATAAGCCACGCTCACCGCAGGACATAAATTTACTGGCGCTGCAGCAGGCGCCCAACAGCAAGCCCAGCTCCAAGAAGAAAAACAAGAAGCAGCAGCAGCAGCAGGAGCAGAGTAATTACAACATGCTGCTGGAGCACGGCAGTCAGCAGCACTTGGTGGTTGATCCCTTTCTGCAGAACTTGCCACCCCTTATCGCAGTGAATGCAACGCGTCAGCCGCAACATAAGCGCATACCCTTTAAACTAAACCTGGATATTTATCCGGTGCTGCCACCTTCGAGGCCGACCTCTGTGCTGCGCAATCCCTTTCACGGCGACTATGCACTGCCCTCGGCTGGGGCACTAACTGCCTCGAACGGGCCCATCTATGCGCAGCCGCAGGGTCTCTACCAGACACCCTTTAAATTTCCTACACAGCCACCCAGCCACCTGCCCATGATCTTTCCCGATCATGGCACACGCTACAGCCAGCACCAGCAGCAGCAGCATCAGCATCAGCAGCAGGCGCTTTACCAGTCGCCAAAGTTTGCCACACAGCAGCAGCAAAATTCGGGCTCTGAGGATTGCATCTATGCACAGCAGGCCAATGGGAATGTCAACACTGGACCGGTAGACTCGCACTCCAATCAAATAATGCTGCACTTGAATGTGTTTCCCAAGCAGAAGCCCACAACACCAATGCGCACCTCCACCAATCCCTTCTACAATCACAATTTCGCTGCGGGCTTGCAGCGTAATACTTTCAGCACCAGTGAGCGGGAGCAGCCGCTGCCTAAACCACCCAGTCCCATTGAGCCACGCCAGGTGGCACCCGCACAGTCACAGTCACAGTCCGGCAACAGCTCTGTGGCGGCAACCACAGCTCAGCCGCAGCAGAACCAAACCCAACAACAGCAACAGCAGCAGCAGCAACAGCAGCAGCAGCCAGCGAATCATTCGATTTCACGCAGCGATAATCTTTCGCTGATCGATTTTGAACATCCTATTGTGGCGGCTGAGGTGCCCCAGCTGCCACATCCTGCAGCACTCACTGGCAATCCTCCCAATCATGGTCGCTATAGCGTCCAGGGCGATCATTTTCGCTACCACAAGATTCCACACATCGATCAACTGGCCGCCGAGGCACAAACAGCTTCGCTCTTTCGCTTTCCCGTCGAGGATCTGATACAGTTCCAGGTGGACGATGCACTCTAAATCGATTTAGTTATAGTTCTTATAAATACCAAAAATAAATAAATATATTTAGTGCTTACTCCAATTATTCTTAGTTGATGATTTGGTTGGATTTTGATTCTGTATATAGATTTGCAAACACCATATTGTGTAATTTTTCATCACCAAGTTTAAGTCTAATATTTTAACTTATAAAGTTTCCAGTTCTAAGCTATTGCTTTCCAAGTTTTCAAAATTACATAACATGCGCCTAACTAAAACGATTTTAATCAGGGGTCTTTGTTTGACCTCAAGATTGAACTTTTATATATATTTTGAGAGCAAAATTTTTTAGAATTTTCTTATTAAAATGTTGTTCACATTTGTCGGCTTACAGAGCTCCCAATTCTCAGTAAATGCAAATTGAAGACTTTTAACATCTGTAACTTGGTTAAAATCTGAACCGAGTTTCAAACGATTTTTTTTGGGCATGTTTGGAATTCTAGATGTCTTAAATTGGAACACATGAACATTTTTTCATTAATATAACATGACATAATCCGTGTAACATATCAAATTTTAGGTACCCCAAAAATATCTATATCTGTATCTAACTATACTTTTTACCTAGCCGCCCTTTGCGTTACAAACGATTTAATTGAAAAATGCGCTGCATACTTTGAGGCTGCGGCGGAAAATGTTTTCCCTGTCCGCACAGTGTGTACACACTTGTATTTATTTCATTGCCACTCGTTTTGCGCATGCGCGAAATGTGTATCAAAACAAAACCGGCAACAGCACGAAACCAGTATTTACCTCTGTGGCCGATCCACGCACGCCGTTGGCCAGCCAAGAACGGCGGCAGCGACAGCAGCAACAGGTAAAACGGCCAAAAGACAGAAGGTGAGCGAGCGTCGCGTCGTTAAGACGTTGCTGCGGTTGAATTCAACGTGACAGTGGGCAAAAATCGAACAAAATAAAAGTAATTCAGAAAAAAAAAAAAACAAGAAGCAAATTCGGAACGAGAATCAAGTTTCGTACCTGGCGTCATACTTTGGCGTTTGGGTTTTTATGCGCGTGTGCTAAAAAGTGAAATAATCATTTGATAAGTGTAATAACTGTGCATCTAATCACGCGGGGCTGCTAGAGCTATGTGAGTTTGGCCAGAACTTGTGCGCAGTGTTTTGTGGTTTATGTGCTGCTTCCTGGCCGCTTGTTTTTTGTTACTTTTGCCCAAACAACAGCCGTGCTGACCATCAGCCTATATATGTATCTTGCAGATACTTATGTATCTGCGGGCAATGCACGCTACGCCAGCGCAGAAGAGAGCAACCAGTTCTGTTTTATGCGCTTATTTATTTTAGCTGCCTTTTTGCACACATTTTGGTCTTAAGTGTGTGAGCCTGTGTGTGTGTGTGTGTGTGTGTGTGTGTGCTGGCTTTCTTTGACTTCCCCATGCCTTATGCTTCATTCCTCATTCTCCAGCTGTTTGAAGTCCATGTGTGCGTGCTCGTGTGTGTGCGAGAAAGCCAACATTTGCCAATCGCTTGGCGCGAGCAGCGCCTCAGCCTCAAATGATTGGAACTCTTTGGCAGCAGCAGCCGCCTCATCATCATGTGCCACTTTTCACATGCTCATAAAGTGAAACTGCCAGCTAAGGCGAATTTCTTTTCAAGAATTGATCAAATGTTTGGCTTTTAAGTGCGGTCCAAGTTCAACAGCAGCTGGCTCCCAAGGCTTCACTTGTAATAGCACAAAACTATTTTTTTTTCTTTTTTGGTATTACAGCTTGCAACACTCACTTTTCCGCTGACTGAGCGCAAATGCTGCAAATGCTGCAATTGCTGCCACTGCAACTGCAACTGCATTGCCATTAACCACAACCAAGGTCGAATGGGCGGTGGGGGCTAACATTGAAAGAGGTTTTTCATTGTTTTTTGGTTAGCAGCGTTTAACGAAAATCTCTTGTTTTGCATAAACGAAAAACAGTTGAAGAGTTGTGAAAGAATTTGTGCTACATGTGCCAAATACTTGTGTAAATAAAACACCGAATTCTTGCCAGCTAACGGATACAGATACATAACGGCAACTGAAATTAGCAACGGCAACATGTTGCTGCCGTCGCTGATGTTGTTGCTGCTCGGTTCGATTGGGGCACAGCTGCTGAATCATGCGCCGCATTTTGTGCCCGGTTCCGGCGACATGTCCCGCTTCAGCCTGTCGGAGCATACCCCAGTTGGCAGTCCAGTCTATCAGCTTAAAGGTAAGTCGTGCCTAAATCCCAAACTAAGGTCACTAAATGACCAAACCCACGTTTCATAATCAAGCAAAAATGCTTTAGTCGCAGGTGAACGACTACAACATATCCCGTACTATTGATTCTTCTACTATATGCCATAACATGAATAAGTGCTATATCAGAGCTATGCTGATAAAATCTATCCTGAAAGTCGATAATTATCGAAGTATCTACATTCTGCATTGATAGCAGTTAGCTCTTCTCAGAGAAGGACATGAACATAACTTGACTCGCATGTGTATGCTGATCAAGAATATATATGTTTATATATACATTTTATGAGCTCACAGATGTAGTTTTCTAGCAAACTATAATGCCCTCTTTTACCCATTTACAATGGGCACAGGCTCTTAAAAACAGCAACAATAGCCTCAGTTCTCACATTATTTACGGCAAAGCCTTTCACAAACAGCAAAATTACTTAGACAATGTTTTTGGCCCAAAAACTTGTGAGTTCATGTCTCTTAGTAATTATATATACTTATACATATAGATTGTTTTTGTCAAAATCGGTTTGCATTTGCGCTCTCTTTCGGCTTTATTTTGCTGGTCATTTGATAGTTTAATTATTTTGTAATTTGACTTTTGTGGACTCGAAATCTCAAATTGCCTTTGCTGACTTTCATTTCGCTGGCTTGCTGTGGGTTTTTTTTTTTTTCAAGGGGGGGCTTGAGAGGGTTATGCCTATATGGCCATAATTGAAATATTAAGCGCTTGGCCCGCCACAGCGCCACCTACTTTTTGAATAACCTTGTGCAGAGTATTGCATTTTTTTATGTATTTTTTTTTGCCCCGCACGTTTTTGGAGAACTCATGTCTCATAAGTGTGTCTCGACATGGGCATTTTTATGTAGAGTATCTCTGGTGATTACTTGATTTATGTAGCGAAATATGTCGTGTATTTTAAGCGATAAGCGTCAAGCAATCTTACTTTAGTTCGGGTTCCCATAATGATAATGTGTTTGTTGCATGCTTGGGAATGCAAGTAGGTAATCAGACAGCAGCTACATATGTGTGTGTGTGTGTGTTTGCCTCTGTGCACTGTCCATGCGGAAATGCATTTGAACACGTTTGTGCGTAGCACTCGCGATACCAAAACAAACGCTCCGATAATGTTTGCTTGATAATGATAACAATTACCATGAGAATATGGCGTGTGGCCAGCTCTTTGCGGCATTAGACATGCAATTGTCTCCTGGCTGCTGGCCAACTACAACAGTTGCAGAGAAAAAGGCGAAGATTAAATACTCTTGCTATATTTTCGACTAATTATTACTCTATTAGCCATATAATATGGTAGACCAATTCGATATGCTCTTTGAGATATTTTGGATGGATAATTAGGCTAGAAATTGCTATGTGCTACAGTAGTTGGTAAATAGTCAATTTTCGATTTTATATGAAGTTTTTATCGAATTAAATAAATTAATAAATTGCTGCACTTACCTTCTTTGAGCAGTTTTTTCTTGTCAAAAAACAAAACATTTTTATCACAAAACAGGAAGCAATCAATCATATTTGTAGATCACAGAAAAAAAATAAAAAAAAAAAAATTATTAAAAACTTTTTTGTTCATACTTTTTCTTAAAAAAAAAACACCTTATCCCAAAAAAGGGATACAGTTATACACAGAAAACAAATCACAGAAAAAAATTTGAAAAAAATATTAATTTTTTTAAATTTATCCCAAAAGAGGAAACACAGTTAAACACAGTAAAAAAATATTAAAAAAAAGCACACATTGACACACTTCCTTTTTGCATTACCTGAAATAAAAAGACATAAATGATATTAAAATTGAATTAATTGAAGTAAATATATATAGATAAATATAAATTATTATAAATAAATATAAATATAAATATATATAAAATATATAAATATCTAAAATCATCAACTTTACATATTTAAAAAGTTTTTCACGTAAAAATTGGGATTCAATCATTCAGTCAGGACAAACAGTTTTATATATGGAGATAGAATATATATTTAATTTATGAAATCTCAAGCGTCTTCTTCCATGCGTTACACATTTCTTTAACAAATTATAATACCCCCTGCAAGTGTAGAATAATAATATGGCGCTCAATTTTCTACACGCAGAATCTATGACACTTTTACTTTGATAAAAGCGGACAATCAATCGAAAGCTACAATTCGCAATGAATATCTTATATACCCATGTCGTAATCGCCTCCTTTCGCAATTGCAATTGTAACTGTAAGTGCTTGGGGCAGCTCCTTGGCTGGGCTTGGCAACTGCCACATAATGTGTGGCAGCAACAGGCGCAACTGGTGTTACATTCCGTTGCATGATTATCCAACAACAAACAGTTCGCATTCATGTGAAAGCTGCACGCAGATCGCACTGGGCGCATCTTCGTGCTGGTTTTGGGCTTTTGTTTTTGCCCACCTGCCCGCAAGTGCATGTCGGCGGCGGCGGCCCGTTGACACCCTAACACAGAGGCCCAGTTATGGTTGCCGAGATGCGGCCTGTAATTTGATGCAGACGCCACAGTTGCCAGACGACAAGGCAAGGCAGACAACTTTCAAGCCAGTGCGGGGCTGCAGCATACATATATATGTATCTTTTTATCTAATCCCAAGCCATATTACTACAAATATATTTGTACATAATTTTCTTGAGCTCAATGAAGAGCTCAAAAGGCAACTTGAGGCCCAAAATTATTTCAAGTGTTTGCATTAACTAAGTAGTTGACAAGTAAGTGAGTACTCATTGAATCTTTCATGTGTGTGCGATCAATCTATGCCATGTGTGTGTAGCTGGGTGAACGGTCTTCCAGCCAGTTAGTTTTGCAAGCTGCATCCGTGAGATACCGGTAGAAAAAAACACGTTTAAGCCAACAATTTATAGCGCGCTGCGTTTGAAATTAAGAGTGCCATAAACACAAATACACACACGGACACACACACACACGGACACTGCAGCCAAATTGAAAACTAGCCAAAACGTTGGCTAAACTGTAAGCCAGGAAGCGGCTCGAACAGCTGCATAATTTGTTATTGCAATTTTGACTGGCAATCATCAAAAGTTGAAGAAAACAAAACAAAGCGCTTGCATCACACGGCTCGCTGGCAATAGGCCAATTTGTTGGCTGCAGCCAACTTTATTCAATAAACGAAAAAATGTTACAGGTTTTTCTTTTATCTATTTTAAATTCGAATTGCTCATTTGACAAGTCAATGATAATAGCGGCTAATCAGTTAATAAAACTGGAACAAAAGACGGCCCTGAGATCGTGCTGACCAAATAAATACCTGTATATATGTTTATGTAGATTTATTATTGTGTGGCTTTCATTAGGCAGATTCTGAGTTATTTAGAGTTTATTTATTTCCCTTCTTCGCTAGCCCATTCTTACGATTCTTGGCTTATTTATAGAAACTTCAAGGCGATCGCAGAATTATATTAAGATTTAATGATGAGAAATTCGCTTCGATTTTGCAACTTGCATAAAATTTAAGAAATTCCTTTTCTTTTCAGACTTTGTATCTTTGAATAGAGAGTTTTTGAAAAAATATTCAGCTTTGTCTCAAATCATTAAATTCAAAATATGCAACAACTAAACGTCAATAATTGAACAGAAATTATGAATATTCACAAATAAGAAAATAGTGTATAATGCGAATAATTACTGTAGCTATTTTATTTGTATATTCCCAACTCCAAAAAGTAATTTCTAAAGCTTTTTTTTCGTCAAATATTTTACTAAATTTTTTTTGCACTTTTTAAAGATTAAGCTAGATTCAATTAAATGGTTTTCAAAATCCACATAAACAACATAATTAAGTGAATGGCGTGGTATAATTATGTAGACTTTTAAACGCAAAGTGCGGCCAAAAGAAACGAAAATGAATAATTGTGCAAAAACACGCTGGCACAATGCGGGTGTTTTTCTTTTGTTTTCCCTTGTGTGTGTTTAGTGTGTAATAAATAGCAAAATATTAACAAATACGCTTCGCAGAGCATGAAATCACAAATTATTTTGCCCCCGCCCCCACCCCACACACTCTTACACACCTGAAACATCAGCATGCAGTACACATGCCGCATGATAAGGCAAGTGAAAAGTAGAAATGTAGAAAAGTTTTCAACATTGAAAAACTCGCATAATTGTTGGCCATTACGGAGCTCAGTTAGTTTTTCCCAGTTTTTCTTGAGCATGCCCCAAAACGAGATTCCATATGAGGCGCAGTAACAATCAACGTACACCAAATAATTCCACTGGCCCCCAATGTACCAATACGCTACGGTATATTGTTGTATGCTATGAGAAATCACATAAAAAAATGTGTAAGCTCCGAAAAAAAAAAAAAAACAAGAAAAAGAAAAACTATAAAAAAAAATGATTATGTACATTAAAAGTGGAAACGGCCGCTCACGCGCCGAATGCAAGAGGCACGGTGCAGGGGCAGGCACTGGGGGCACTGCAATGGGAAAGATTCGGGTTGGCGACCGCAATTGGTTAGTTGTTGGGTGTAGTAAGCTATGGAGAACGTGTTGTTTACTTCCCGCTTCGGCGTCCAAGTCGTGCTTGTAGCTGCTGCAATTGTCGGTCGCCGTGTCTGTCGTCTTCAAATGGTTAGAGCAAACTTGAAAACCTGAAAAGCGATCTGTGTGCCTGTCGTCTGCGTCTGTGCCAAAAGTCGTCTTGCAGACCGCCAGCGGGCTTATTATACTCTTTTAGAAAGTATGATACATTTTTCATGAAACGCGTAAAGATATATTCTTGTTCAGTATCACAGAAAATAGCCAGAACATACTAGTCTATCATATATTATATTATTTCAAGAGATATTATCAGTCGAAAATTGAGATCTTTTTTGAAAAATGTGTTGTTTCAAGATATCTTGGGCTAACATAGTATTTAGGAGTTTTACTTTGCTGCTTGCATATCTTTTGAGCATCGAGCTATTATATCAAATAAATCATATACTTCACAGAAAGAATGGGTCAAAGATGATTTTGTGCATAGAAATTTTCTCTTATTTTTCAAGCATTCATGCAAGTCGCAAGAGTATTTCTAATTCGATCTACCGATACTTGCAGTTCTTTCTTGTCATTGCTGGCTTTTGTACATGCGCTGTTGGGATCATTTGTTTTCTTTCTTTTGCCCATCCACTGTGTATCATTCGAAAGAATTTCTAATGGTTTTTCGTGTTTGCCCCCAAGCTGGGTTGAGCTGCTCGGAAATTTGAAGTATGTTTCCTGTGATTAAAACCACCAAAGAGAAAGAGAAACTGCTTAAATCAAGACAGTTTGAGTGGAGTTCAAAAGAAACCCAGATTTAGCTGAGCTGACCCAACTCCCAGCGTTAGCAACATATTTAGCTCCATTTCCACGTCCAACTAAACTGCAAAGTCGAGCATAGGAGGTTGTGGGAACTTAATTAGCATTTTTCACACGCTTAAACATAACCCAACAGAGTGTCAGTCGATGACGTTAGTCGACGACGCGAACTCGACACGTAATTAAAGCAGTGAGCGTGTCGAGCAAAACGAGTAGCCGACAAACCGCTTTTACTGCCGCCAACAACCCAGTCACAAGTGAACCCCAATTTATTTGTTACACATTTGCAGGCATCGACCCGGAGGGAGGCCGCCTCAAGTACAGCATATCTGGCCCAGTTTTCTCGGTGGATCGGGAGACGGGCGTGGTGCGTCTGCGCCAGGAACTGGATCGCGAAACCCAAGATACCGTTGAGGTAATTATAAGCATTACCGATGAGGGTGTCTACGGCACAGAGCCCAACACGGTGTCCCAGCGTCGCGAGATACCGGTGCGCGACTATAACGACAATCAGCCCACATTTTACGGAAGACCCTACACGGCCAGCGTTAGTGAGTCGCTGCCCGTGGGCGGCGAGCTGATTGTGGAGCCGCCGATCATAGTCGTTGATCGTGACGAGGGCCTCAATGCAGAGGTGCAGATAAAGTGTGTGCAGGTAGGTCGAGTCATCAACAGGCGAATTCAATCCAGCTCATGATACCATCTTCCAGGAAAACGACATTTGTGACATCTTTGAGGTACGCGCTGTCAAGCTGGGCGATGGCAACTACACCGCGAGGGTTGCTCTAAAACAGCCGCTGGATTTTGAGAGTCGTCCCTCCTACATCATGACCATCTCCGCCTCAGATAGCGCGTTGGAGAATCGTTTGACCTCCTTTGCCACAGTTTCCATCAATGTAATCGACGTGCAGGATCAGGCGCCCGTTTTCACCAATGCCCCATATTCCGCTACTGTGGCCGAGAATACACCAGCCGGCGTGAGCATACTTACCGTCAAGGCAATCGATGGCGATGTGGGCATACCAAGGGAGATCTTTCTCTCACTGGAGGATGAACCTTTTGGTCACTTTGAGCTGGTAGCCTACGGTAATCCCAAGGATGGCACAGCCATGCTGCAAACTACCAGTGTACCCTTGGACCGCGAAAATCCTGATATACTGCAAAACGGTGGCGTCTACGTCTTCTCCATACGCGCCACAGAGCTTATAGATGGTGCCATTCCCGCGGAGCACTCGATAACACGCGTCACCATTGTGGTAACCGATGTGGATGATCACAGGCCCGAGTTCAGCGCCTCGCACTTTAACGTTTCGATTGCGGAGAATCTGGCCAATGGTATGCCCCTGCCAGGTCTATCGATATTCGTGGATGATCGAGATATGGGCGAGAACAGTCGATATCAGCTCAAGCTACTGGATGTCTCGAAGGCAGCTAGCGTGTTTGCAGTCTCACCAACTGAGGGCCAGGGTCGCACTCCTGTTGTGGTCAAGGTGCTCGATGCCAGTCGCCTGGACTACGACAATCCGGCACAGCGCAAATTCGAGTTCGATTTGGTGGCCTCCACGCATGGCGTGGAACAGGCCAAGGCACGCGTGGAAGTCCATTTACTGGATGCCAATGACAATGCGCCCGTTTTTGGTCAGCAAACCTATCGCTTTACAGCTGCCGAGAATCTGAAAACCGACTCCCTTATTGGCGTAGTAAATGCCACTGATGCAGACTCGGCTGATTTCGGGCATGTGCAGTATGTGCTTAAAGGATTTGGAGCCGATAATTTTTATGTTAACCCGGAGACTGGCGGCATTTATCTACTCAGACCTTTGGACTACGAGAAGCAGAGTACATACAGTCTGACTGTGGTGGCTGTGGATGGCGGTGGACGCGAATCGAATGCCAATCTCTATGTCGACGTTCTCGATGTCAACGACAATCATCCGAGCTTCGAAAGAAACGAATACAGTCGCACGATTCGGGAGGGTGCCGCAATCTTTGAACCACAGTTCTTTGTGCGTGCCCACGATGCAGATGGTCCCAGCCAAGGCAACGGCAAGGTGAAGTACGCCATAGTCTCGGAAAACAGCATAGCTGGCAATGTATTCCGCATTGAGCCGGCAACGGGCGAAATAACCCTACAGAAGGCAGCCAGGTCCATGGATACGGAGCGCGGCGAGTATGAGCTAGTCGTATCCGCCACAGATTTCGGTGAGTCAGGGCAAACTATTACTGGGCTGGGCAAAGAGTTTTGCTCCTCCACTTAGTTCCTTCATAAGGAGAACCACTCACTTTTGTAAGACAGCATTAATATAATTAATTGTCTCTCTTCGTCCTGTCGCCAGGTATTCCTCCGCTAACCAACACAACGCGTGTGCTTGTGCGTGTGGGAATCTCCGGCAATCAGCGTCCCATTTTCAAGGGTCACTTCCAAAATGTCGAGAATTTGCCCATCATTGGACCGCCCAGTTATCGCGTGTCCATACCAGAGAATGCCGCACCGGGCTATAATGTAACTACAGTCTCAGCACATGATCCCGACGGTCTGGACAGTCTGCTCAGATATCGCATTGTGGGCGCCAATGACAACTTCCAGATTAATGAGCTGTAAGTCCAGTCTAACTTGAAAGACTTTTGCTCCTCCACCTCATCTAAACTTCTCTCCTGCAGATCTGGATTGATTACTGTGTCTCCGCAGGCGCGCATTGATCGCGACTTGAATATGAATAGCTTTGAGATAATTGTGAATGCCGTCGACTCTGGCACGCCCATACCGGAAACAGCTACAACCACTGTTTATGTGAATGTCAAGGATATCAACGATGAGAAGCCCAAGTTCGAGCAGAATAGCTATGCTGCCTACGTATCCGAGCGCACAGCTGTTGGAGAGAGCGTATTGCGGGTTAAGGCAATTGATAAGGATCTCAACTCACGTCTGGAGTACAGCATGCAGGGAGCGGTTAGGGCAACCACCAAGGCGGGCGTGAGCATAACCAATCGGAGCAGCTATCCCGTGCAGGAAGCCTTCCGTGTCGACAGCCAAAGCGGAGAGATCTTTGTGAACAGCAGTCTGCGTCACGATGTGGCTGCCATTATCATCTTCACAGTGGCCGTGCGGGATCTAAATGCTGAGGTGGATCCTGAGAAGCAAGTGGACACCACAGAGGTAACGGTGTATGTGCAGTCTTTCAAGGATAAGGATCCGGTCTTCAAAAATCCGGGATGGAGCAGCTCTCGCCCTGTTGTCAACATCAAGATCAAGGAGGAAATGCCCATAGGTAGCGCGCTGTTCATTCTACAAGCCGAGGATCCAGTGACCGAGCAGCCCATTACAAGCTTTGAACTGGTCGAACCAAAGGAGCTGGAATATTTCCAAATTTCCGAACGCACTGGCGAGGTCATATTGAAGAAGCGTTTGGACTACGAAACCCTGGCGGAGTCGGGCAGCGCAGAATTTGATCTGCAGGTGCGCGCGAATAGCGCCGATCGTCAGCGCAGCACAATCAGCCGGGTGAACATCACGGTCGAGAATGTGAATGATAACAGTCCGATCTTTGAACAAAGCTCTTATCATGCCACCATCATTGAGAACAAGGGCCATCCGGAGCGTGTGCTGCAAGTGAGGGCCCAGGATAAGGATGCGGCGCTTAATGCGCGTGATGAGCGCTTGGGCTATCATAGGATCATTTACTCCCTGCAAGGCGAATATGCAATGCTCTTTGAGATCAACAACCTGACCGGGCAGATCATTGTCGCTCGCAATCAGACCATTGATCGCGAACGCACGCCCACCATTCGACTGCAAGTGAAGGCGGAGGACTCGCCCGGCAAACCCACCGATGCCAAACAGAGCATTGTCGAGCTGCTGATCGATGTGCTGGATGTGAACGATAATGCGCCAGAGTTTACCAAAAAGCTCTACAGCGCTGTCATACCGGAGAACGCGCTGAAAATGGAGAATGTCCTGCAACTGAACGCGACAGATGCGGATGATGGACCTGGCGGCGAGATACGCTACGAGCTGGTCAACGAGGGCGACGCCAACGGGCTGTTTAGTATCAATGCGCAGAGCGGTCTGCTGACGACGCGTCGCAATCTGACGGGCAAGGGACGCGCCGATGCCTTTGTGCTGATTGTGCGCGCCCAGGACAATGGCAACCAGGTGCCCAAGCAGCCCACGCTTTTCACGGATGTCGAGGTGCGCATTTTCATCGGGGATGTGAGCGCCAATGATGGTGTGCCATTCTTTGTGGCGCCGCGAGTGGGTCAAATGGCGAATGTGACAGAGGTGAGTCTCGCAGAAAAACCGTAAATTGAAAGATGTTACAACTTTTAATCTCCCTACAGAATGCTGCCATTGGCGCACCTGTTTTCCAAGTGATTGCCAGCGATCCCGATGACGAGAGTACGCCCTCCGGCACAATATCCTACCGCATTTTGCCAGATACGCCCGACGCTGAGGTCTTTGCCATTGACACTCACACCGGGCTGATAACAACACGTGAACAGCTGGATCGTGAGGAGAAGTCCATGTACAAGGTGCTGCTGGAGGTCAGCGACAATGGGCAGCCCAAGCAGTCGGTGACGCGCATCTTAAAGATTGAAGTGCTCGACATGGATGATCATGAGCCCAGATTTGCCAGAGAAATCGTAAGTCAGAACACAAGTTAACATCCATTTGGACTCTAAGTTAAAAATTTGAGCAGGATGCGGGTCCCAGAACCATGTCCGTGAAAGAGGAGCAGCCAGCGGGCACCATTGTGGGCAACTTTAGCGCCATTGACGAGGACATTGGCGAGAATGCGGCCATCGACTATGTCATAATCGAGGGCAACAACGAGCAGATCTTTACCATTGAGCGCAACAACAACAGCGTGGCCATATTGAAGACTAACCAAGCCATCGATCGAGAGCTGGTCGAATCCTTTACGCTGACTATTAAGTGCCTGAGGCTGGGCGAGCCAGCTTACAGGTACATAGGCGATCCCTATGATCGCCAGGATCCTTCGCATCTGCGCCTCACCATAAAGATTCTGGACATAGACGACAATTTGCCACTGTTTGAGAATCCGGACGCTACCGTCGGCATACGCATCAATGTGCCCATTGACACTGTGATTACCACGCTGCGTGCCAGCGATGCGGATGCGGAAGCTGCGCCCATTGCGCTGTCCATTGTGAACGTGACCTTTGTGCCGCAGTTCTACAAGCGCAGTCGCAAACTGGCCACGGGCAACTTGCAGACGCTCTTTACGTTGAACAATCACACTGGGGAGCTGCGCACGGGTGGCTCCTTTGCCGACTATGTGGATGGATACTTCCTAATGCGCGTGTGCGCCAACAACTCAGCCGAGGCCAAGCGCCAGACGCACAGCAACATCAAGGTGTTTGTCATACGCGACAAGTCGCTACTGAAGTTCGTCTTTGCCCGCCCGCCCAACGAGATACAGCACAATATACGGCCATTCCAGGAGCAGCTGCAGCAAAAACTCAGGCCATTGGGCCTGGAGCTGCACGTGCTGGACACACAGGTCTTTACGCGTGCCGACATGAGTCTGGACTTTACAGCGACCAGCTCCTGTTTCCAAATGTTTCGCAATGGGGCCGCTTTGTCACTAAAGGAGATGCAAAAGCTGATGAACTCCAAGGAGCTGCGGCACGAGCTCATCGACATCTATGCGGCATATGGCGTCAGTGACCTGGAGTCCTGTTCGGTGCGACGCACCCACACGGCCGCCCTCTTTGGCAATGCACTGATGTCTGCGGGCGCTTGGCTGGTTATTTTGGCGGCGCTTATAGGCGTGGCCGCGCTGGTCGCCCTCTGCACAGCCTGCTGCCTGAAGAAGAAGTGAGTGTCCTAGTTTCTGTCTGGTTTCCATTGTTTAATGAAAATACCTTGTATACAGATTTAAGAGGCACAGCAAACGCAGCCTGCAGGCAAGTCTGCGCACGCCCACGGAGCATACGCCCACCTCGTACAGCTACTCGATGCCCGCCGTGCTCTACTCGGAGCCCATCTATGGACCTTTGTAGCCTCAGCTAATATTCTGCACAGCCAGGAACAGCCAATGGCAATGCTGAATCTTAATTCTAGTGTAATCTAGTGCTCAAGACTCAAGACTTAGGCCTCATCTGCACCATCTGACAACAGATTTATCCAATCCGCTAGTTATCCGCTATAACCAGAGCAGAACAGGTGCACATGAGGCTTGGGCAATGCAGCTGGCCGCGCCAGTTGGCCAAAACAGTCCATACAAGCATAAGCATACTATGCACGTGATCTAGTATGTACATAATACACCTATGTAGAGTATAGAAGAGTATAGAGTACGCTAATCTAATTTAAACTGTATAAAGTCGAAAATGAAAACTTTTAGTTTTAAGTTCTCATATAGAAAGTCATTTTATGTGTCATCTGCGCAGAAAGGGCCGAGTACCCCATTCGAGTACTCCAGCTTTGAGTAGAGTTCTTTTTTTTTGCAACTCATGAAATAATTTTGTTTTATTTTAGTAAAAATAAATGGCATTTACCTATATATTTATCTTATCGTTATTTGTCTAGCAAATGCGTAACAAGTGCAAAATAAATATTACTTAAAATGCAGCCTGATTTTCAGCAGGAAGTTTCACATCCTGACGCTAAGCAAAAGGGCAGAGTTGACGTGTGAAACTAAAACAAATTATATGCATAACATATATATTTGCCACTTACCCAAACAAGGTGCATATGTTTGGTGCCATTAAGGTAGAAATATGTATTTAGTTTTCGAATGTGAACATGTGTGCAAATAAATTGTATCTACAACAAAATACACGAATACCTTAGTCACATTCCATGAACTATGACGGGGCATGCACAGTGATATGGGCCACAGCAAAAATGTAAGTCAACAAAAATTAAACTAAACACAAAGGCTTTTAGCTAAAAGTAGACTCTCGAGTCTCTCAACAATTTGGCTTGCCCAATATATGGGAATATATACGGCTATTTGGACTACAATTGTTGCCTTGATAGATTTCTAACTATCAGGCCTTTATTATCATTATTTGACCATGGTTTGTAGTTAAGATTTGGCATCTTTTTTGTTAAATAAAATTGAATTGACTGCTAAAAGATTCTTACAGTTCTATACCTGACCATTTTTGATCATTCCAATTATAATTTTTAATGACCAAAACGCGCCAATGCGAAAATGAAAATTGTAATGTCTAATGATTTCCACCAAGAAAGCCAAAAACAAGAGAGAGATTCTAGTCGGGAGTTCCCGACTAGGGAATATCCTGAATGCAGCTCGCGTAACGCGCTCGTTTGAAGTAATAAAGATAAATTTTAAAAATAAAGGTTCGTTGGCAGGGTTCGAACTCGCAACTGACAAGTAAGAGTTTCTAGTCGGGAGCTCCCGACTAGGGGATACCCTGAAGCCTCTTCCTTCAACATCAAATGCATATATATATTATTTTAGAAGCTGTATGTAAAGTTTGGTGACTCTAGCTCTTATTATTTACCAAAATTGCCAAAAGAAAAAACAGGATATCGATATCGATTGCTTGGAAACGGAGTAAGTTATCGATTATCGGAAATGAACTCGATCTGCGCGGGAACTAGGAGCACCTACATCTAAATTTCATTTCAAGTCCCTAGCTCTTATAGGTTCTGAGATCCTTGCGTTCATACATACGGTCGGACAGACAGACGGACATGGCTAGATCGACTCGTCTATTGATGCTGATCAGGAATATATAGACTTTATGAGGTCGGAGATGCTTCCTTCTGCCTGTTACATACATTTGGATTTCGCACAAATACAATATACCCTTATACCCATTTTTAATGGGTTCAGGGTATAACAAGTAAAAGTTTCTAGTCGGGAGCTCCCGACTAGGGAGCTTCTTCCAACATCAAATGCATATATATGTATATTCTATTTTAGAAGCTATATGTCAAGTTAGGTGACTCAGGCTCTTACTATTTACCAAAATTTTCCAAAAAGCAGGATATCGATATCGATTTTAATCGATTGCTTAGAAACGGAAAGTTATCGATGATCGGAAACAAACTCGATCTTCAGGCACTAGGAGCACCTACATCTAAAATTTCAAGTCTCTAGCTCTTATAGGTTCTGAGATCCTTGCGTTTGTACATACGGACAGACGGACGGACGGACAGACGACCAGACAGACAGACGGACGTGCCTAGATCGACTCGGCTATTGGTGCTGATTAAGAATATATATAGTTTATGGGGTCGGAGATGCTTCCTTCTGTCTGTTACATACATTCGGCTTTTGCACAAATACAATATACCCTTATACCCATTTTTTTCAGGGTTCAGGGTATAAAAATAGTTTCCCCGGTAGGGCTCGAGCTTGCGACAGACCGCACCACTTGCTAAGCCATTACTCAACAGGCACACCAATAATTAAGTATTATTGAGAAAAACGAATTAAAATAGCAGGACAGAAAACAATCGCGATTACAATGCATTTATATAGAAATTCTTTGAATTTGCACTAGCTGCCCCAATCCAATTGCGCAGTACAACATAACTTTTTTTTTCTTCACCGATCTTAATAAAATTTTCTACAGTATATCTTATCGTACCATCGAATATTTGTGTATTCCCAAAAAGTCTATTGCATTAAAATTTTGGCTTAAATTGGTGGGCAATATTAGTTGGGTTAAAAACTTGATTAATAGCTCTGCGGTGGCAGCGGGGAGGTGGCGATAGGTATAAAATGTAAGATACTTGATATATATATATATATATATATATATATATATATATATAATATTCTGGAAGCAACATTTCAAGTTCGGAGACTATATCTCTTAACATTTATCAAATTTGCTCAAAAAACGGGATGTCGGTATTCTCTAAATATCTAGTTATGATTCGAGTTTTGGGCTAGTAGACGGATCTTATCGATTTCTATTGTAGATGTAGATAATTATCAACAATGTTAATAGAAACCCCTAGTTGCCTTTTGAGAACCCCCAGCTTTTATCATCAAAAAAGTTGAAAGAACATTCAAATTGCAGAGCTGTTGTATATTAATTATAGCTTATGTTTTCTTTGAACCACTTGAATAGATACGGATATATACTGTTCAAACTAACCTAATTCTTTTGATTACTGTTCATAAAGAAGTACTCAATATTGTTTTTTTATGCCATGACTCGTCGGTTGTCTTTGGGCTTAAAACAATCCACCATTCATATTTCTCAGCACTACAATAACTGATAAGTCCGCCTCGACCTGTCCGCTGATGTTGAAGTTGATCTTGTAGTAGCCCGGGCTCAGAGGTTTGGGCCATCCATCGCCAGTCGGAACGCAATTATCGAAAATGTAGGTGCCTTTGGGCCAGGGGTATGCTTTCTTGGGTTCGGGTATATTCGAGCACTGCTTCAGCTCCTTGTAGATAATGTCCTTGTAAAAGGATTCGGCAAAGCTTTTATATCCCTGCTTCGGTATGTGGTAGGGTAAAATCGTGTAATCGTGCCCGTCATTGCTGCGATAAGATGTAGCCTCCACCTGGTGGATAAATAGAAATCGCACTTACAATTCATTACATTTTGAGATCACTTTTGCACTGAAGCACTCACCATAAGTGTATCGTCCATATCGACTTTTACTAACATTTTGCCCATAAAAGCACGGCCCTTTCGTCCCATATGTCCAACCGTTGCGTTAGCCTCCAATTTCGATGGATCCGACGTTCTGAATTTTACCGATAATGGTTCGTAGATCCTATCATACTGCAAACGGGATCAGTTGGCATTTGGTGGCATATCCTTTTCTGTATTAAACTCTGCATCGCTTACCCTTTCATCGTAGCCGTCTACGAGCAACGGAAGCAATATCCATGCCACGGAGAGCGAAAGCAGCAGACCCGTATACATTTCCGATATCGTTTGATTATGGTTGTATCTGCAGTCAGATTATTTATATATGCCGATTTTGTCATGAGTCCCATTCGTTTTGTGGGTTATAGCCATTAACCTTGACAGGCATTAAAATTATTAACACAGGCCCGACCTGACAATCTGACAGTTTTACCAGCTTTACATATTACTGGGTGTTTATTTTTATACCCTGAACCGATTGAAATTGGGTAAAACCGGTATAATGTGTTTGTGAAAACGTTTGTATGTAACAGATAGAAAGAAAAATCTCCGACCCCAAAAAGTATATATATATTCTTTATCAGCATCACAAGCCGAGTCGTTCTAGCAATGTCAGTCTGTATATCTGTCCGTCTGTCCGTATGTATAAACGCAGGGATCTCAGAGCCTATAAGAGCGAGGAATTAAAATGTTCAATGTGGCTCCTGCTAGTGCCCACGCAGAACGAGTTATACCTTCACCCGCTCCAAGTAATCGATAAGAGTCGATATTGAAGTCCTTTTTGAGCAAAATTGTTAAATAATAAGATAATAATAATAGTCAACATACTTGACATGTGGTTTCTAGAATACTATACAATATCAAGTATAGTTCATTATATAGCTATCACCACATTCAAGTAAATAAACCAATTTGTGCTGCCAATTTAACCCAATTTAAGCCACAATTTTAATGCAATTGACTCTTTGAAAATAAACAAATATTCTATATCACAATAAGATGTACTATTAAAAATTTCATCAAGATCGGTTAAGAAACACAAAAGTTATTAAAGCAAGTCGATAACTTACTCGCAATCGATATTGATATCCCGTTTTTTGGGCAATTTAGGTAAATAACAAGAGCTAGAGTCGCCAAACTGGACATACAGCTTCCAAAATATAATATATATATGCATTTGATGTTGGAGGAGAAGGGTTCAGGGTATCCTCTAGTCGGGAGCTCCCGACTAGAACCTCTTAATTATTACCCATTTTAAATGGGTTCAGGGTATAAAAAAGAGAAGAAAAAGAAAAACCCATATATAATAAATATTGTTAAAACTAATGTGCGGCACTCATTAGCCTCAGGCAACTACGTAGTGGACGATGTGGCAAGTACAAGGGATGATGATGCTGGTAAATGAACTGCCACACCAACAGGCCAAAGGGTGCAAGTTTTATGTGTGTTTCAGTGCACACACATATGAACTGATCAGGGGTTGTTGCTGTGTACCCCTGTCTTAGTTGTTAGCTGTAGCTGCTGCCACATCTAACGAGTTATTTTTATAACTTTTTAAAACACAACAACAACAACAACTAAGGCAAATCAAGTGCGTCCGGGCTCAAGTAAATCAACGAGCAGTGGCTCACTTTTATGGGGGTTGTCTCTGGCTTTTGGTGTAATTACAACCATAGCCATTACCATGTTGAAAAATTTCAAAGTACTTGTAGAGTATTGCAATTAGCATAAAACCCAACTGGCAGCAGTCGCAGCTATCAAATGTTGCCAAATCACATTCCACTTGAACATTGATTGATGATGGCGATCGTAAATCACACTTCAAACTCGAGTGACAAACGCGCTTCCCTCTTTGTTTGCTGGCCAAACAATGACGGCGCCGCTAACTGCCACGGATCCAAGCTGCAGTAATCA